AAGTTCATAGAACTATTCGTCCTCTTGACTCAAGTTCATAGAACTATTCGTCCTCTTGACTCAAGTTCATAGAACTATTCGTCCTCTTGACTCAAGTTCATAGAACTATTCGTCCTCTAGTCGATGACTCAAGTTCATAGAACTATTCGTCCTCTAGTCGATGACTCAAGTTCATAGAACTATTCGTCCTCTAGTCGATGACTCAAGTTCATAGAACTATTCGTCCTCTAGTCGATGACTCAAGTTCATAGAACTATTCGTCCTCTAGTCGATGACTCAAGTTCATAGAACTATTCGTCCTCTAGTCGATGACTTAAGTTCATCGACTATTCGTCCTCTAGAAGACTAAGTTGATAAAACTATTCGTCCTCTAGTAGACTAAGTTGATAAAACTATTCGTCCTCTAGTCGACTCAAGTTGATAGACTTGAGTTCACAACTCGAGTTAGTTTTGGGTCGAAGTTTTCGGCTAAGTCGACTAGACTTAGTCGATTAACAATACTAGTTGTTATTATAACCGATAATCCTGAAAATCAACATTATTACTTCTAAACCCCAAATGTTTCAAATTTAACAAATAATGAAATCAAAGTGGCAATGGAACATGGCTAATTTTATATCTTCAACCAATTTCTTATCTATCAATCATGGCGAAATTCCAAGCTACATCAAATGAATATTTAGCAGGACCATTATTCGTAGTAGTGTATTCTAAACTTAAGAATAAACTTAGAAAAAACAGTTTGCTTTTAACAATTAAATTCAAATACCAATGTCAAGTACATAAAAAGTTGTAATGCAGTGTCAAAGTTAGGTATTAAAAATCGATCATTTAATTTTAGCATCTAGTTTCGATTCTGGAAGATATCATGATAATTCTCTTATAAAATTTAAAAATACAGAATATTATATTTTAAATTGGATTGCATCATTCTAATTATGATAAAATTATTTTTATGGTAAATGCTAAAAAAAACGGATGCTTCTATTATTTTTACTAAATTGCAGAGCATTTATTTTTCTGGACTACAAACTCTGAACCTGCACCAAGTTCAAAGATATTTCACTGTTTTAGAAGGAGAGCTCATAGCCCTAAGAATATTTAAAATTTTATAAAAAATATTGATAATCAAATTGATTTTTATTTGCCAACCCTAGTTTCCAGCCTAATTTTTATAATCCCATTATAATTTATACTTTTTCTAAATATACTTTTAACAGATAAACTATAAAAGATTTGATAACATGTGATTAAACATTAAAACAATTTATTTTCCTCCTCATCGATAAAAATGTTTAGAAATGTGTATAAATATTGTCCCGAAAGGGGGTGTCTTTGTATAAAATTATATATTAATCAGTTTTTAATGGTTTTTCTTGGACTATTTGATATAATTTAAAGGATTATTCATCTTGTAAGTGAAAATAACAATAAATGGGGCTTTCATTCAATTATAGAAATTGTCTATCGATAAAAGAAATTTCAATTTATTACTTTATTTATAATTTATTGTAAAATTTTTTGCGCATATAACATATATTTAATAAATATTAATAAAATATGTTCAATTAAGTTTCGACTTCTTGAATATATGAATCAGAATCTTGTGCATTTCATATATGGCGCCCTAAATATTAAAAAAATTGATATAATTTAAATTTAAAAATCTAATAAACAACTCACTTTTAAAAGATTCTAATTTTTTGGTAGCACATTTACCTTCTTGAGACAACAATGTATAACTACGGCCAGTAGCAGTTAACAGTGAAACTAATGTAAAATATGACTTTGGGCAAGTAAAGAGTGTGGTCTATAATACTTGGAAATGTAAAGGAATTAGAAGGTCCTGATGGGTTCTTCCTGCTTTTAATTTTTCACTAAAACAAAGCTAACTACCAATTAGAATCATAAGGATACGTTAGGTATCCTGATATTTCTTCAATAATTATACTTTCATCATTATATGATCTATTCTATAATACTTTCTATTGAATTGGAATACATTTTACTTTTAAATTGATGTAGATCTGTTGGAATCAAGGTGTGTATTTTGTGTGTTCCAGGTATTTAACTCGTACAATTCATATGATGTGGTTATTTACTTTGAGTAAGGCCTTGTAAACTAGCTCTAGCGGCTAATCTTTTAACAGTGCCACCAATCCCATCACAAACACTTTTCCCGTGTGCTATAGCAGAAAAATGCCATTTCGCCTGTACGAAATCCATCTCATGATGGCAAATATTAATAAAATTTTTACGATTTTTATCATCGGAAAAATAAAAATTTTATTTGGCCTACAAATTTTATTAATTAAAAAATTTACCAATGTTTTTTTGAAAATGATTCCATTTTTTTAAAAAAGGCATTGATAAATTCACCTACTGGTTTGGTTATTGTTTCAAGAGTGGTTCTATCTACGGATAGCCATTGTTTGTATGTTATAAATTCGATGTCCTTAGAACGAAACAATATTTCTATTTGATCGCGTAAATGTGTTAACCCTGGACAATTATAACATTTGCCAATATAAACTGGATGGTTGAGGCGAATTACAAATTATTAAGTGTAAAATATGTTTGTATGTTTTAAAGGGCAACATATCATTGGTTAAATTTGATCTAATGATCATTAATTTAAAATTTTGGTGGTAGCTGCAATCACATTCATGTGTACCACTACCTCCAACGAGTATACAATTTTTGAGCGAATGCTTGCAAATTTCGAAAAACCAATTTTAACATCAGGCCTCATTTCTTTAAAAAATATATGAATTTCTTTCAAATTATCTAAAATTAATCTCTTATGCATGGTATTCTTTTTTCCGTCTTTGGTCAAAATCGAAACGCAATCTTTCTTGCCTGGCATGATTTTGCTTATTTCGTCCATACAACAAAATTCTTTTACAATTTTAACTGTATATTCGTCTATAGTTTTTCCAGGCTTGGCGTTAGGTGTTGATAGAAATCAAAATACCAATAAATTAATTAAAAATAAATTAATATAGTGAGCATGTATTATTGAATGATTAATCATGATTAATCAATTTTTATTTATTTTATTGATTGAAACACTTATTTATTGTTATTCTAATTTAGTAAGGCTATGCCGATTTTAGAAAATCCGATCCAATATTTATATTGTTTTAGGTTATTTTATGATAATACTTTTATTTTGTATATAATTTCATAATAATAATAAATTAATATTTGTAATATTTTAAAAATATCAAATTATTTTAAATGAGAGGAGAAAATTTTGATATTATTTTTTGGCGTCTATGAAATGCACAAGATTCTGATTCAAATATTCAAGAACTATAAACTTGGTTAAATATATTTTATTAATATTCATTAAATATATGCTATATGGGTAAAATTTTTATAATAAATTATAAATAAAGTAATACATTTAATTTCTTTTATCGATATACAATTTCTATAATTGAACGAAAGCCCCATTTATTGTTATTTTCACTTACAAGATGAATTATCCTTTAAATTATATCTAGTCCAAGAAAAACCATTAAAAACTGATTAATATATAATTTTATACAAAGACGCCCCCTTTCGGGAAAATTTTTATACACTTTTCTAAACATTTTTATCTATTTTGAGAATGAAGAAGGCCGAGTCCCAAACCAATTTTTTTATATAAATATAAAGGAAGAGTTTAATGTCTACTAAATTTTTTAAAAAATTGAAGGTCGTATTATTTCCAAAAATTTTTTTTAGTCTTTATATATTAAATAAAATGGCCAGATTGGTAAAAAAAATAAAAAAATTTTTTTTTATCTAAAAGTAGAATCTTTGTACGTAATTTTGATATTAAATTCGTTATTTACAATTATGTAGTTTTTAAGATATACTTAATTGAATGAAGGCAGATAATGGTAAAATACGTCATTTTTGCCACTTTGAACCCTAATATCTTCAAAAATATAAATGTTAGGAGGCTAAAATTTTGGTTATTTCTTAGTTACATCTTTGCTTACCAAATTTTAAAAAAATCGAAAGGGGTTGGCCGAAAATCTCATTTTTTTTGCTCATTTGATGTGGAATGACCCTATAATAAAAACTTATACTTTAGTTATTTTATATATTATATCGTTGCTCTTTTAACAAATAAATATATAGGGTATTTAGAAAATTCAGAGTTAAGCTTAATATACCTGTCTTTTCAGCAAATTTTAAAAGATTAAATTATCTATACCACACATTATAATTTTGAAAGGCCTAATTAAGTTAAAATAGTTATCCAGCAAACAGAGTACCCTATGAATTTCAGAAATTTTTTATTTATATGAAAAATTAAATAAAAAAATATTTTTTTTTAATATGCAGGATATTTCATGTAAATCAACTATTATAATCCTTAAAATAATTTTTAACAATAGAAAGTTTATTGCATCGAAATGTTTATATATGGCACCATCTATATTTTTTTAACATTAACAATATTTTAATTTTAAAATAATTATTCAGCCGCACTAATTATTGAAGAAATTATTATTAAAATAGGAGTAAAGATAAAAATTTGAAAAACTGAAGCTCAATGATATATTTGAAATATTAATTTAAAATTTTTAAATCAATTTAAGATGACTAATATCTAAAAAAAAATTAATTATGATGTTCCCCACATAATTATCAATTATTGACTAAGTTATTAATATTAGATACAATATTCAAACTAATTTAGCTTTTATTAAAAAATAAATATAAATAAAAGGTTAAAAAAACCAATTTTTGTACTTTTAATTCCCATTATTTCAGGTAATATGTTTGTTAATAAGCAAAAATTTTGTTTCATATATTACTACAAAATATATGAAAAGCCTACAAATTTTTGTCGAAATTAAAAGGGATTGGCAAAAATATTGATTTTGCTCATTTGACATGGAATAAACAATTGGTCTCATTATATAAGTGGTATCAGTACATCTCTGACTGAAAATTAATATAATTTATTAAATGTGGTATGTAAATTTTTTATAAAAAACTTCATTTTTCTTGTTCCATAAATGTTCTCCTTTTACACATCCCATCTGATTTAGAAATGTTGTAAAATCTGATGTTTTCTTTTGACAACAGCTCCAATATTTCATACTATTAATAAAATAATAAGTTGAAATTGAATAGATATGCATATATAAATGGTAAATTTTATAATTAACTTATTGAATAATTATATAATAAATAATGTGGCTATAAATTATTACTGATAAAAATAAATTGTTAATAAGTATTTAACCCCTCATGAAAAACTGGTTGCCCTGGATGATAGCAACATACAGTGTCATCCTTGAGTGCTTTACAATAAATAACACCACAGGCATGGTGTGAACAAATTTCATCCATTGAAGGTTCTGTTGATTTTTTATTATCTGTATAATTTTTCATTAGGATGATTGCTTATGAAAAGGCTTACACAAACCTTGATTAATTAAATTATTAAATTTGTTTTGATTATTAAATGCCTTATCCATTATAGTTCTGATCTTAGTTAAAGGTTCATTAATAGAGGGTCTATCAATTGGTAATTCTTTAGTAGATTTAACATATATAGCCTTCTTAATATAAATGTAATGACATACAATGTATTTGATTACCTTGAACTCCTTGGGCTTTTCTTCAACTGGTTTTTCATTTAAATGTTTGCCTTTACAACACCCCTGAAAAAAGAATTGGTAGAATAAAATATATAATTGATTACTGGAATATTTAAAAAATCTGTGAAATTGATACATTTTTTAGAACAGCAGGACCAATACTTATATGCATCGTGAAAAACAGGCTTCCCACAATGATATGTGCAAGAATCTTTATTCAATGACAGTTAAGATAAATATTTATTTTTTAACCTTCATGATTATTATTAGAATCAAAAGCTTTCCCACAGCCCTTGTTATAACAAATATTGCCTTCGATAGACATTTAAAATTAGGATATGTATATTGTACAAAAAAGTTAAATATCTATGATGCGTTTGTCAGATTATATTTGACGCAACGTCATGTAACATACCAAAAAAACGTAATAATGATTCAAAAATTTGAAATCCTTTGGTAAGTGGCATAGTCAGGATTTATTTAAGTGGGAGAGGTAAATAATTTTTTTATGGACTGCACTTAAACTCCCTTATTTAATGTAATATGTAGAAAATAAAAAATGATTTCTAACATTAATTCATGTATAGTAAGGTGACTGATGCTACAGATAATTAAATCAATTTGCACTTATTGTTTATTTAAAAAGAATAAAAAATTCTATTTAATTATATGTACTTAAAGAAATATGATATTTTATGTAATATGATAATTTTAAAATAGACAACAAATATGGTGTTCCTATAATTTGGTCTATGGTATTCATGGTCGTTTTTTTAAAAGTAGATGAGATAAGAGGTAAAATTTTTATTATATTTATATGAATAGTTTAAGTGAAGACACCTTAAATGGTAAAAATTTAACTGATAAAAGAAAACTGGCCTCTTCATCGCCTTTTAAAATTGATAATTCGATGGAGAGAGTTCAACATCCCGAACCCGATATTCTTCGATTTGGGAAGCCAGTTTTTGTTTAAAAATGTAGGCAACTGTATGTCAATATAAAGATATTTTCTAACATTCTTTGACAAAGGGCAACGGGCCAGTTAGCCTAGTAGAAAAATGTCTCACAGGGCCTCGAGATTAGTGTTGTTAAATAGTCGAGTTTTTTCGACTCTGAACTCGAGCTGGAGTCGTAAAATACTGCTCAGACTCGAGCGGCTCAATGAGCCGTTTGAACCGACTCTCGAGCCGACTTCCGAGCCAACTTCCGAGCCGACTTCTGAGCCGACTCCTGAGCCGACTCCCGAGCCAACTCCTAAGCCGACTCCCGAGCCGACTCCTGATTTTATATAGAAAAATATATTATATATAAAAAAAAGAAATCAATTCATAAAGAATTATACAAATTATTATTTTATATATATAATCACTAGAGTTGTTAAAAGAGACTTTTAAATGGATCTAGATACAGATACTTCAAAAAATTAATCTTTGAACCTTTAATATTCGGTTACATTTAAAATCGGTGGCAAATATTTTTTCCTAATCCTAGGATAGGATCACATATACATATGATTTTATTTATAGAAAGTAGACGCTAAATATCGTTTATTTTGAGTACTTATAAACATTAATTTCCATATTAAAATAAAAATCAATTTAAATTCAATCATTTAAAGAAATGAATCGAATTCCATCTTCAATGAACTTTGTGGTGTAAGAATAAAAATTTGAAAAATTGGATGTAAAATAACTGCTCTAATGGAGGGGGGGGGGTCAGGTCCTATAAAAGTTTTGGAGCCACTTTACCCCCTTTTAATTGGACTAATTTTTTTCTTCTAATTTTAGATGAATTTTTGCTACCATACCAATTTTAATAAATTTGAAAATCTAGCAGCGTCATTGATATTCAGAAACCGGAATAGCTAAAAATCGATTTTATATTCATGTTTTATTTTATCCATAAATTTGTAATGGAAAAGTCATACATATTAATGAATAATTTCTTAGAGTACCGAGCTATGTTGGCACACTTCTTTAATCATTTATAAATTTACATATTAGGTTTCTTATCATTTCTATAAAGCGACCACATTTGTAAGTCAGGAATTTAGTTGTGGCAAATAGGTGGTAAATTTAAAGTTTTTAAAAGTTTTTTAAAAAATTCTCAACAATTTACAATAATTATAAATGTTTTTTTCACATTATGGAAATGTGTTACAACAAAACAAATCATATTATGGATGGGTTTTTTTAAATTTAATCTTCAATATGTTTCATTAGTAACTTAACTTATTAATTATTTTTATATTTTTTTAGATAACTTATTATTTACTTTTTATATTATTTTTTGTTTTTGTTCATTTTATTAAATTACATTTTATATTATTATTCATTATTTTTCACTTGATTTATTTTAACATATATTGTTATTTGATTTAAACATATTGTTTGATATCTCATGTTTTTTTAAACATTTCATTAACATACATAGATATAGTATAGATAATAAATATAACTAGAATTATATTAATTAATATATTTATGTAAAAATATTCAAAAGAGATATTTTATAATATTTTGAATGATTAATGTTAGCTTAAGGAAACCATAAGCACAATTATGTGCCATAAAGAATGGATATTGCTAATAACATTTTTTTAGATATCAATTCAAAATTGTAAGGATACTTTTATCATGTAAAGGAATATATAAATCCTTGCTTAGCCATGAAGCCCATTATTTATTAAAAACAATACCATTGAAGCACACAATTATTTTAAGCAAATAAATTTATTTAGAACTTTTATAAATATCCGCTAACTTTTAATGAATAAATAAGTTTAATCTTAAAAATTTTTTTTAAAGATAAATACTCATTTTAAAAGAGAATTTGCTCAAAGAACGATAAAATAAGAGTTTCTATTCGAGAACAACCGAACTCTTTATATATAAGTATGAAAAAATTGTATCTGTAAGTCGGCTCCGGAGTCGGCTCAAACAGCTCATTGAGCCGCTCGAGACTGAGCCATTTTTACGACTAAAAACTCGACTCGAGTCACGGATTAGTCGAATCGGCTTAGCCGTTTAACAACACTTCTCGAGATTTAAAATTTGGAGGCTTTTAAAAAATTGGGATCCTATGAAGAAAAATGATATGAAAAAGCTAGCATAAATCTAAATAATTTTAAATATTATAAATTTAAAAATTTATATAATATTAAAATTTTCTGGTGGAATTATAAGCACTAAGAGCGCTATAAAGAAATAAAAGGAAGTTAGATTTAAATGCTTAGCCCTCAATCGCTGAAAAGTAAAACCATTTTCATTAGTTAAAATGTGGATCAAATAGAAATTAAATAAGGGAGCATAATTATTGTCTTATAATAAATAACCTAATTTATTTTAATAAATATGATAACGGCAATGTTTTTCCGGCAATTCTTTTTTCCGACATTGAGTTAATTTTTCAACTTTTAATCATTATTTGAGCGTATTTTTTTAAGTTTCTGGTTGTTCCTGAAATGTATTTCGTCAAGTTTTGAATATTTACCCTATAAATTTCAGACAATTTTGCCATGCACATTTTAATTAAATTTATTATTTATATTTTCCAAAGATTTTTCAAATAAATTATAAATAACAAAATTCTCTACACCTAATAAGATTGGTATTCTAAACATGCTGGAATACATTTTCGGTAAAATCAGTTTTTAAATATAAAAAAAAGCGCTAAAAAAAGAATTAGAGTAGTAAAAATAACACATTGCCGCTAACATATACATGCAATATTTATAGAAAATAGAATATTATTATTATTGTTGAATATGTTGATCTATTTGGCAATTGATTTATTTTATTATATATCAATTTGTATTTAAATTTAATCGGTGAATATTTTATATTAACATTTTTTATATCATTTTAACGTTAGATGTCAATTTGTATTTTCACAGAATTAGTTATTTTTTTTTGTTGTTTAAAAAAAGATATATAAGGAGAATAAAAAATGTAATTCAGGACTAAAAGAAAATAAAATGTAAATTATTATAAAAATAAAATAAAATTATAATCAATATAAAATGTGATATAATTATCTGTCTATAATAAAACGTGGATCTAATTCAATTTCAAAAATTATATGTATAAATATAAGTATTTAATGCGAATGGATAGAAATAAAAATAATAAACAATACACACAAAACCAAACCACATAAAAATATTTTAATATTTAGTACATATGTATGATATATATCAGAGACCTGCACAGGCTCTAAGCGTGGTTATGGCGCCTCTCGAGGTTTCTGATATATATATAAGATAAGTTTTTAATATAAAAAGACAAGTTGCTTTCATTTCCATCTAAATTTTGCCATAAAAACAAAATATTTTTTATTTTGCAAAACATTTATTTTAATTTAAAATAAAAATTACCTAATAGCGCTGAAAACTCTTCCCTGCCCCTAATTAAAAATACTGGTTGGTTGGTTTTTTTCATGTGCACTAAGAATTATGGAAATAACCCCCCCCCCAAGTAAAATGAACACCATATTTGCTAAAATTATATAACATAACCCAATGTAAATGTTTAAAGATTTTCCTATTCTAGAGTAGAGAGATTATAGCTAACCTTTTTTTAAAAAAATTTAGAAATAATTAGGCCTCTATCAAGATATTTATAAACAAGAAACCTAGACATTTTAACTGCCTGGAAAATGATTGAATATTCCAAATATTCTATAAATTCAATAAATTTCCTCTCAATACATATGAAAGCGACAAATGTGCCATTATCCATCAATAAAAATTTGTCGATTTGTTAATACCTGATAACATATGGATGGAAACTAAAATACCGCAGCTTAGAATTGGTCGTAAAAAAAAGTGTTTTGAGAAATGTCCAGATGAGCCTAAATCCCTTCCTTTAAATTTACAGAGTGGAATATGATCGCAGATAGTAACTAGTTTTACAAAATGAATTTCGAAAATCAACATTTCATAACTGATGCTCAATATTTCCATTCTAATGTTTTGATGAAATTGATAGGGTAAGTCTAATCAAAGATGCTTTAAAAATAATCTTTTCATTAGCTAAGGTTAAGCTGCGAGATAAACTATTTCATTTTCTAGAATTTATAACAATCTACTTATTGGTTTGAGGAAGACGATTTGATTTATCATGGTGATCACACATCAGAATCTGAAAGTGAAAATGAAGAATTTATTCAAGAATGAAAGAAAGTTGTAATGGGGGAGAACTTTACCAAGCAATACAAAATGCAAGCAATGTTTGATATGTCTATATGAGAGGTTATGCCGACCCAATATGCATATATCTGCATATACCAACTTATTATTATGTGAATATCTTCTCACTTTATCTTTCTCACAAGTGAGTTGCGAGCTAACTCTCAGAAAATTAAAAATAGAATGCCAGTAAATATCAGGCAAAATTATCTAA